ACTTGGGTTCCTTTCAACAACGTACGAAGTGTATGATATCATTCAATGGTCTCCTTAACATGTGTCTAATCCAGCTCATATTTCTTTTTGCATACTTGTTGGGTGAGATGTTGCCTGGTTGGTTGGTTGGCTGTATGTCAGAGTTCCTCCTTGCTTATCGTTTCTGGTCAACCGTCGCTGCTCGTCAGTATCGAATGAGAAATGTTTTCACAGTACACAATATTATTTATGGTGACACTTTTCCATGGTTCTTCTCACAAAGCCAAATTAGATTACAGTAGTTTGTAGCAACACTTTACCCAGTTTTATTGATATATGACACTCACTACTGACTCATTTAAGTAGTCTCAACCCAATCATACCAGTAAGCAACATTAATTCACACACTTTAAAGAAATTTGATCAATAATATGAAAGAACTAATTAACTGAGCAATTTGTTTTGATGAGGAAACGATTGTTCTGATGCTAGTGATTTTGCCGCTAAATTTCCTTTGAACCGTAGAGTTAACAAAAGTGTGAGGGGTAGTCTTAAGCACAGTGTTAAGGTATAGAACGCTCTTTAACCATTCAGTAGCTAAACCACTGTTCAGCAGAAAGATCAAAGCGACACTTTAAAGCTAAGGTGAACACAACGACTGTACATCTCTCTCTCTGTGCGTCTCACAATCCAACACAAAGTGTTTTGGCCTGAAAATATCGGAAGTCTGTGATTCTGTCTCAATAATATTATCAGACTTTGTGAAACACTAGATTCAACTTTCAAATAAGACGGTTAGATTTGATCTGGAAGATGTTTATGTTAGATCTGATAATGTTAGGCTTGTCTGACGGGGTGGGGAGTGAAAGAGTAGTACATTCAATATTCAATTTCTTGTTTTTGTTAGTCCATTAAGTCGAGAGAATGAAAGTCAGATCTGTCAAGCCCTAAGGTAAATATGAATAAAGGATGGGAGATTTTAACACGAAATTAGAAATATGTGATCTACTGTACGCCGTATATAATACTACGATAGAAAGGATAATATGAGACATGACTCATGCTATTGTTTGATGACTGCAAATAGCCACTATGTAGCTATGTAGTTATTTAAAAGACATAGGATTATGAGTAAACTAGAGTAGGGATACATTTATTCTAATGTAGGAACGTGTCTTTATTCATTTATTTTTTTATTTGATTGATTGAACTGAAATGTTCGGCCTCTGTTGTCATGTTTGGCTTCTAGTAGTGACGCTTCAACGATTAACGTGAAGTAATTTGGAGGATGGTGACAAGCAGTATTGGAATCTTGGATGCGTATTTCACCTTATTTGGGACTCATCATCTGGATGTACCTGCATCCTCCAGTGAGTGATGGTGTTCATACTGAAACTCGAGTCCAGTACCCGTCGTTTCAAACGTCAAAGCATTATCCACTAGACCAGACTAGGTGATGCTCGCGGTCTAAGTGGTCTAGTGGATAACCCCACTAGACCTTTCTATCGTAGTATTATATACGGTGTAGAGTATACCACATATTTCTAATTTCGTGAAAAACCTCCCATCCTTTATTCATCTTTACCTTAGGCTTGACAGATCTGACTTTCATTCTCTCGACTTAATGGACTAACAAAAACAAGAAACTAAACATTGAATGTACTGCTGTTTCACTCCCCACCCCGTCAGACAAGCCTAACATTATCAGATCTAACATAAACATCTTCTAGACCAAATTTAACCCTCTTATTTGAAAGTTGAATCTATTGTTTCACAAAGTCTGATAATATTATTGAGACGCAACCACAGACTTCCGATATTTTCAGGCCAAAACACTTCGTGTTGGATTGTGAGACGCACACAGAGAGAGAGATGTACAGTCGTTGTGTTCACCTTAGCTTTAAAGTGTCGCTTTGATCTTTCGGCTGAACAGTAGTTTACGTACTGAGGAAAAGAATGGTTAAAAAGCGTTCTATAGCTTAACACTGTGCTTAAGACTACCCCTCACACTTTTGTTAACTCTATGGTTCAAAGGAAATTTAGCGGCGAAATCACTAGCATCAGAACAATCGTTTCTTCATCGAAAAAATTACTCAGTTAATTAGTTCTTTCATCTTATTGATCAAATTTCTTTAAAGTGTGTGAATTAATGTCGCTTACTGGTTTGATTGGGTCCAGACTACTTAAATGTGTCAGTAGTGAGTGTCATGTATCAATAAAACTTGGTAACGTGTTGCTACAAATTACTGCAATCTAAGTAATTTGGCTTTGTGAAAGTTCCACTGGGAACACCGTCTCACTCACTGGAGGATGCAGGTACATCCAAATAAGATGAAATACGCATCCAGGATCCCACTACTAATACTCACCATCCACGAAATGGCAGCTAAATGACGTTTAATTTTAATCAAAATCTTTTATCGGGTTGATTCTAACTACATCATCCGCAGCTGCCACAGATCCATAAACAGCTGTGAAAAGATCTCAAGGCAGAACTGAAATTAATTTTCTCTAAATAATACCGAAATCTGAATTTTCAATGCCTAATGTGAAGTCAGTGCTCATATATACGTTTCAGACACTTGGCGTGCACGTTGACAGTGATATCAAAAGTTATCCCCAAAAAGAGACCAATCGTTTTAATAGAAAATATTTGGAATCTATTTCTAAATTCTCCTTATTTTTATATTAATATCTTAATGAGTCATGCTTGCTAGTCTCTCTTCTGTTACTGGAGGTTTGAGCAGCCAAGTAGTTCCATTAGGCTTCTTACAGTAAGTATGACTCATAGTCAAAAGCACGTAAATATAAATACTCATTGGTCACTAAGGTGTCTGAATTGTATCAGTCGAATTTGTAGTGGCCATGGCGACGTGCCTCTTGAACTGATATGTTAGATGCTTGAAACCTAATCGACTGGAAGTCTGGGACCTAGGTTCCATGCTTTTTGTCATTCATCAGCAAGCAAGGCATATCGGCAACCTTGAAGGAATTACGTCGGCTCTGAAGTGCAAGCCCTCATTACTTAGCGCTGCGATCGAAGACGTTACCACTGAGTTATTCAAGCTAGCATTTCACTTCATTGAAGAGCTCATTCATTCAGTACCAGATTTAGTGTTCAGAATAATATAGAATAACAATGGAAAGCTCAGTGAAGAAGCCTTTGTAGTAGAGACACGAGTTAGACAAGACTACTATCATGGATTACATTCTTAACTGCGGTGGACTGGATTATGTGTCAGACTGTACGTTGGGAGTGAGGAGTCAGGAATACGCTGGAACACCGACAAGAAGACTCTAGAATATCTGAATTTCGCAGATGATATATATCTAATGTCACAAAAACTCGAAGATGTACAGGCTAAAACCAACAGATTGGCGGAAGAGACAGGGAGAGAAGAAAAGACTTCAAGTGAACAATTTGAGAACGGAGATGGGGAAGATAACCAATCAACCAACCACAGCAAGAGGGACTAATCACTATCAAGGGGAAATACGTTAAGGAGGTCACTTCCTTTGTCTTATCTAGGAAGGATTGTTTCAACTACAGACGAATAGCAGAGATAAGGATAGGAAGAGTAAGAAAGACTTGAATCACTCTGAAATCAGTTCCGAAATCTTTTTCCCTCAGCATAAAGAAGAAAAATTCGGATTTACAACATTAATGTTAAATTAGTCAATTCTTGGAGTGTCACCAGCAACATTTCCGAAAGGTTCAGGACTTTCTTTGGAAACATACTGAAGATCAAATGACCAGATCGAGTGGACTAACAATAAGGAACTCTGGGAAGGAACCAATCAAGAACCTGTTGCTCAGCTGATATACCGGAGAAAATTGAAATGGATTGGAAACAGGCTGAGGAGACCTCTGAGTGACACTACATGACAGGCTGGAGCTCTAGAGGAACCCGAACGGGAAACGATGAGTTGGGCATGGGTCTGACGGTGAAATGGGGGAGATTGTGTGAGGAGGAGATGATAGCTTATGGTCCCTTCTGGGGCTAGCTAAGGGGGACTGGAGAGAACAGGATAAAATGGAGATGTGCTGTTAAAGCCCTACATTCCACTCGGAAGCCATGGGAATAATAAGGCAATAGGCATTCAGAAGACAGACCTCCAGGTGAACATAGAGAAGACAGAGATGATGAAGATAACCAACCACCACCAACAGTAACAATAACCAGCACTAATCACCATCGACGGTAAAGATTTAACAGAGGTTACTTCCTTCACTTATTCAGCCAGGAAGCACGGTTTCAACCACAGGCAGTCGAAATGGAGGAAGATGTCAAAGCCAGACAGGATCGAAAAAGCAAAAAACGCCTCCATCAACCTTAAACCAGTTTGGAAATCTTCTACCTCACTCAGCCAGCATAAAGAACAAGATTCGGATTATATTCAGCACAGATGTGAAGTCAGTCAGTCAGTCACTGTTTGTTTACGGGTCAGAAACTTGCACTGCGCGTAAGTCACTAAAAGGATTTCCAACAGCCAGTTACAGACTTTTGCCAACAGCTGCCTTCCTTCGCTGGCTGGCTCTATACTGAAGATCAAATGGCCAGCCGACCAACCGGACAGAAAGAATTAGCAACAAGAAACTCAAGTTGCGAACAAACTAACGGAGAACCGATTGCTGAAAAAATATGTAGGAGAAAATGGAGATAGATCGGGTATATATTGAGGAGGCCATCGAATGACATCGCGCACAATACAGGCCATCGTTCGAGTGGACTCCAAATGAGAAGCGACGAGTATGTCGTCAGTGCGAGGGTGACAAGGCGGAGATGGTGTTTTGAGGAGGAGAATATGTGAAATTATGGTTAGTCGTGGGCTCAGTCAGCTGAAGAGGACAGTAGGAAATGGAACAAAGTGGAGATGTGTTGTTGAAGCCGTGTGTTCCACTCGGAACCCAAGGGAATAACAATAGTAATAGCAATAATCTGTAAAAACGGAAGCTGGTCATTCTTTCTTAACAAAAACATTAATTCACATTCGAATGAAACACACAGGGGTTTATTTACCTTTCTCCAAAATTTATTGTCAGGATTCTCCATGATAAGTCGTAATGCCCGTTTAGCATTGAATGCAGACACATCCTAGAAAGAATATTAGATAATCCACGATAGATTGAAATGGCAATCAACACTTACCGAGTAAATATCCTCCATACTTGTAATTCCAGCAAGATAATGTAGACAGTCTTTATTAGTTTGTACTCTTTCCTAAAAGAGAGGCAAATTTTATTAACGATGAATACAATTGATTACGCAGTCTACTTACTGTTATGTAACTGATTTGATTGAGAATATCATGATTCTATAGAGAAAGGAAAAAAAGGAAAGATTAATGTCAGTGGTAAGAAATCTTTGAATTTAATTCAAAACCTACCGTACTAGTTACACTTCCACGTATCCAATTTGAAGATCCTTCAATTCTTTGTTGTCTTTCCATTTCATCTTCCAAACCTTGATGTGTATAACCGAAATTCGGTGATTCACATGCATTCTACAATAGGTTAGAAGTAAACAAAAAAAGTTAAAAAGAAATATGAGAATTGGTTGAAACAAGCATTATACAAAAATAATGTGTTATTAATATTATTATGAATCTGAAATTTCCACAGTTCAGTTCCAAGGATATGAACTGAAAAACGTCAACCTAGATGGTTGCAAGTTCGGGAAAGAGAGGAAGGTTTATCCGGAGGCTAACAACCTCATCTTGTAAAGAAAGCCAATGCCACCACTGGTCGACGACGTCGTACGTGATGTAGGATTATTTTTGTCCTACAGATTTAGTCCTTCCTCAATACTGACGACACAGAGTCTGGGCTTAACTATAGTTAAAACAGAATGACTTGACTTTAACTTTATCTGTTTCTAAAACATAAAATAAATCATACAATTACACCAAGAAAATGTACAAATCCACTGTCATTACAAAAAAAGGACAAAAACGTACCGAACAGTATTGAGGGTACGGACAAAATGAACAGTCAATTAATTACATGTATACACAAATAGAGTGACAGACAAAAAAAGAACATTCAAGGTCACATCACGTGGTGAGAGTTACAATAAATTGACCAATAATCGCGACAAGAAGGTCACATCATATTGATTAACTGTCTATCATATAGTCTATCTATCTATCGCGATTAACACGTGATTCAGGGTTCTGTCCCTGGCCGACAGTGAGACCGATAAAGAGGGAAGGTTGGGTGTGAGGCTGATAAACCCACCCTGTCAAAATCACACCAGTGCTAAAGGAACCTTAAAGCTCTAGACTGAAGCCCAATGTCCCACTTGGAACTCAGGGATTGCGATTAATTTTAAAATTGAATTTTTACGAACAAAGTGATAAACTTGACATTCAAGTTTTAGGTCATCAGAATGCTTACAATAAAAAATAAATGTATCAATACAATTTATGAAAAAGAATGTGTAAATCCATGAGTAAACAACTATTTTGTTTATCGGTACATATGCTCTCAAATACCTGATAAGTTGATAACATTAGGTATTTTTAAAACTACAGTATGCAAGATGAAAATTGAATCGGAAAATTTTACAGATAAGCGGGGGATAAACCTTTCCATTTCAGTAGCATACTTAGAAATGTGTGATTTATTAATAATAAAAACAAGACAGGTAGTTCAGTAAAGAAGCTCTTCCCGGTGAATTCAATTTCCTCTCCAGCTGTACAATCCCACTTAGATACATCTCTTTTTACGAAACAGGGTAGTAACAAAAATGATGAGTTGTCGCAATCATATTTTCAAGTATTGGTTTTGTAGGGAATTTTAATTGATTGGTTGGAGGATTTCATCATGAGCTGAAATCAGTTAGAGAACCATTGGAAAACCTGCCAAGCAGGGAGTACTGCCAGACAGCTGTTTCCTCCGTCCTAGTTCGGGACTCTTCAGCAGTACGCGCCCACCCCAAATGAGTTCGAACTCAGGACCTTCTGGTTACAAGGCAAGCTAGCTTGTAGACCATTAAGCCACTGGGATTCGATGTAATAGTCAGCTCATGAATTCCAACTTCTGCCAATTCACTACATAGTGAGACCGCTAGCCAGTGACTTCGGCGAGTATTTGTCCTCACACCCGACCAGCTGTACCCTATCAGTCACGACATCTCACTAGAACCCAGGTGACTGCCTAACTGAATAGGGTCAGTCGTTAGTGAGCATCTCACTGCGGGTGCAGCAGGTCCGGTGTGAGGAAAAAATACTCGCCGAAGTCACTGGCTAGCGGTCGCGCTATGTCATGAATTGGCAGAAGTTGGAATTCATGAGCTGGCCATTGGATCGGATCCCAGTGGCTTAATGGTCTACAAGCTAGCTCGCCTTGTAACCAGAAAGTCCTGGGTTCGAACCCAGTTGGGGTGTGTGCGTACTGCTGAAGAGTCCCAAAATAGGACGGAGGAAACAGCTGTCTGGCAGTACTCCCTGCCTGGCAGGTTTTCCAATGGTTCTCTAACCGATGTCAGGTCATGATGAAATCCTCCAACCAATCAATTAAAATTTCCTACAAAACCAATCCCTGTTTCAAGTTTGATCATGGGTTGATATCAGTTAGACAACTAGTGGCTGTTTCATCCTAGTTTGGGACCCCTCAGAAGTACTCACCCATGACCCCTCTGCCTAAGACGAAACACACGACCTTCCGGTTACAAGGTGAGCTCACTGACTATTCATCCATAGGGATGGAATTCAGAGGCCCATAAATTCCAATTTCTACCAGCCAATATCATCACCGGTGAGTACTTGTTCTCATACCTCAGCTTGACAGACCCCACTGATCATAACCTCTCACTAGTGTATTTGTAAAAGTGAGGGTATCAGTTGAAGTATACTGTAGTGTAACATCACTTCAGCGAAGAGACTCTTTCCAACAATTGAAGAATTCGAAACAACATTTAAACATATTAGCAACTGTATCGGTTCCTATGTGGGAGGTGATTTACGTATACAATATAGTTGGTAAAAGCAATAGCAGAACCTGATTAACTCCCACTGACAAACATTTCTGTACACCTCATTTATTTCAATAGTGACAAGTTTTTTCTATTCTAAAAGCTTGTTTCAAATAAGATACTGAGTTAATGACTGTGACATATACATACTACTCACACATATGCTTATATATACTACTTACAAGTAGGAATTAAACCACTTGACAAAAAAGAAATGTGACACGATTCACTTTATTTTCAGAAAATTGATGATTTCAAACATAAAGAATGTGATATTATACAAATAAGATACACTTTTGAATTTAGACTGAAATATTCAAATATTTAAAGAATTATATGTTACACTATATATCTAGACTGGTAGTGACATTCTTTTTGTTTTTGTCAAAACAAAAATTAAAGAAGGAGGGAGGGGGATTACTTCTTTTAACTGTTCTCTTCAAGTACGAATTATTGAACACCTTGAATAATTCAGTATTCAATGTTTTATATAGAAGTCAGTAGTAAGTAAGTAAAGTGTTTTTATTAGTAGAATTGAAATAGAATACTTTGAAAAGAATCTGTTTGTGGATGTTTCTCAACTAGATGTATTTATAGATAGGTACATAGTTGTTCTTAAATGAAAAGTGTATATTGTTTTAGTTATGGTTTTATCGTAAACATAAACCGATTACTAGTCATAATCAACTTTACACTTTTGCATTCTACACACTTCAAGGGGTGAAGTTTCAACCATAGTTTCCTTTCCCCTGCTTGATACCTTAAATTGTAATAAAGAATGTAAGCCTGAAGTGTACGACTCTATTAGTTATTGATAGAGTTGAGTAGTACTCATATGATTTTGTAGTGCTTACTAGCCAGAATGAAGTGATTTAAACACTGGATTTACTCATCTTACTCATTTGAAGTGGAGCTCGTCATCGGTGTAAGTTGGTTCATCTCAGCTTAGAAAGCAAAATCAGTTGAAACCACCCAGCAAATTTGCATTTCATCTTGTTCCCTGAAGCCCTGTTTAACTGGTTCCACAATCGTTCATAATCTCTAACCCCTTCCTCGCCACATGATCTACTCCATATTAGCTGCTGACGCCCAACTCCTCGTTCGCCATTCGGGTTTCAGTCAAGGGTTTGGTGTGTGTTTCGTACATCCGATCTATCTACCTTTTCTTCTGCAAATTTTTCAGGTGATAGCTACTTGGTTGGTTCGATTCCAGAGTTCCTAACTGGCCATCTAACCTTCAGTATGGAGTCAGCAGAGACACCTCCTGATGATACAAATCCTCAGTTTTCTTGTAGATAGTTTTTGGTGATACTTCAAGTTACTGAATCATTCAGAAGAACTGACGTGTTCTTTAATCTGAATGTATAGTTGATTTCTAAGCACAGACTTCAGATTGCCCGAGAACCATGCCTAGATTTCTAGCCAGTTCTAAGCTCGGAAAAATAGGAAGGAAGGTTTGGGTGCAGGCTGGAGACGCTACCAAGGAAAATCAACTCAATCTCCATAGAAACTTGAGCGAACTGGTAATGAATTAAATGGAATTGGCAATTTAAAAATCACTTCAAGATTTTCAGTTCACACACACAGTTTGAGGTGGAGTTACCTTTGGAAACTGAAATTCCCTGACAGTATATAAGCGGCAATCAAGAAATCAAACATATTTGCACAAAACTGCATACTACTACTGACTGATTTAAATGAGTAGTTTTAACTGATTAAAAATGCCCATTAAAATTTTCAAAAGAATGAATACTGAACAAAGAGTACTCTTTTCGATAACTTCCCCTTCAACAGGCTCTACAGTTATATATACATACATTATAGTGAATGAATGAATTAGTGTTATTCAACAACATTAATGTTGCTGTTTAAATAACATCGAATCAGTAATATCAATATATTACAGTTCAATAGCATCGACATAAAAACGAACTGAATGTCAGAAAATTAGGAAAGATAATATTACAAATTCATGAATTCATAGTCTCTACTGAAGGCCAGCCAGGGCAGTAGTAGTGGCACTGGTTGTTTGAGGCGAATTGCAATAGCCTCTGATATTTGCAGCATGCGGTGCTTCGATGATTTTGGCAATTTATTAGGCACCCGGTTGATGATAGAGAAGGATTCTTCCACGCTGGCTGGCTTTGTGGCCTGCCGGTTTGCACCAGATGGTCGAATATCGAACTGTTAATGGCTTTAACTACACCTTTACTTAGTCATAGTGGGAGATGTTCTCTTGTTAGCACGAAAAATCAGGTTCCTAGAGCAACGGCCAATATAACTCGCTCCACCACAAGCGCAGTTGAATCGGTAGATACAGTTTGAAGTGGCCAGTCTAGGTAGCACCATCGGCTTTCAGTAGAGACTATAAATTCATGAATTTGTAATATTATCTTTCCTAATTTTTCTGACATTCAGCTTATTTTATGTTGATGCTAGTGAGCTGTAATCTGTCAATATTATTGATTCGATGTTATTTAAACAGCAACATTAATGTTGTTCATAACACTAATTCATTCATTCACTATA